TATATATATATATGTATAAGTGTATGTGTATGTATACTCTGTATTAGATACAATCTATTTGTAAATTTCAAACATAGATATTGTCATATCATATTGATATACAAATACTCGCACAAAGTTCGGAAAAACAATACAGTAATGTGATTGCAACATAATTGGTAAAGCTTTATAGAATTGTTAATATGTTGTGTGATTAAAATATAATCTAAACAAAGACATGTGTGCGTAGACGCGCCAAATTTTTATAAAAATGTCCTAAATTAAATTTCTTGTGTATATCGACTGTCTTGCTCTTCGCTTGTGTGTATGAATACTTTCGATGAACTTTGAAGAACGTACACGTGCGATCGAACGCGGACAGGAAGACAAATAAAACACGACAGAGATCGATCGACAAGTGTAAAGTATCAAAACTATCTACAGAGGCAGAGAGAAAGATCAAGGCGAGATCGATTTTTCTACGAATTGGGATAGAAGGACAAAGTTCAGATTTTGCGACCTGTACACCTCAGAGTATATCATAAAACAATTAACTGCACTCAAATTTGATATTACGCTAATCAAATTAAATCCGATTCCAAGAAATATTCATTGCAAAAACGTCATAATAATCAAATCTTTTCTAGCTTTCGCTTTTATATAATCAAGGATGCTTATCAACACATTATGAAAAATTCATAATCTAATTTTATAAAAACAGAGAAATAAATATAAATAAATCTTCTTATAATCTTCTCTTTTAGAAATCTTTGCGATATACGTATAGCTGCTGAATGAATATATCACTAATCGGAGTACAGGTGTACGCAAGATGAAAAAGGGGTGGGAGGGTCATAGGGTAAGCAACGAGTGGACAGTCAACTACTCGAGCTATCGTTCAACGGTCGACTTGCATGTGAGAATGAGAGAAGTATCTCTCTAATGATGGATAATCAATTCTGTTGCGCTGCACTTGTTACGTTTATACGCAATAAGGAGTCCGTTAATTTGTAAATTAATTTTTAACGCACCGCGTTAATGTGATATTAATGTAATGTTAAACGGCACAAAAAAGATGAAACAATTATAAATTTAGATCATATATCTCTTGTGCGGACACACGCGGTAAGTCTGATGCGAGTATGTAATCTCTTCCGTTCGACACAAAAGCGCAATGTCTTTAACTCGAATGAGTTTTCAATATCTTCAAATTCAAAATCATATCACACATCTGATAATCGCATTATCGATATCCTATCCTAAAACTTCATTAAATTTTTTTAATTTTTTAATAAATTAATTTGAAAATTAATTAAATTTCAAAAGATAGTATCGTATAGTATATTACGTTAAATTAAGCGTAAATAAGAGTAAAACTTGAAATACGCCGCTTGTGAGCGCTCTTTGAGCATAACGGAGCTCCTAGATTGCGATGGAATCTGGAATTTAGATCTTCATCAAGTAGATACGGATCATCAGATTAAAGAGCGATGTCTTCATCCGTACTCTATATTATTCGTGTCATTATGCGGCAAGTCACGGGTAACGAGCTGCAGTTTCTGAGAGAATTTGTACTCAAGTTTCTCATTAAATCCCCATAACGAACACGCGAAAAAGAGACTACGTATAGATGTGTCGCGAATCGCTAGCGAGAGTTAAGAACTTGTGTATTGGGCCATTGTTATCGAGACTATCACCACGATTATTCTGCTCGCGTGACGACAATACTCCGCCGTATTGGCGACGAAATCGCTATCATAATTCAATCCGTGCTCTCGAGCACAACGACGATATGCTAGACGCCAATGGCTAGACGCCGACCGATTTTAAACCACCGCCCGTTACCGAAATTGTCCGAGTGATTTCTCACCAAAATATCACATTGATGATATCACGTAAGAAAAATTATTCGCGTAATATTAGTTGTACATGTAAGAGTTTAGTTAATATCTCCAAGATTTCGGATATCCGATTTATCCGACACGAAAATCGGCTCATTTGATTCAATATATTTACCTCTCGGCTTGCAATCAAGCATCCTAAAGATAGACCTATGTTTTCGTTTTCATACTAATCTACAATTGATTCTGACTGCTTTAACAGTCACGAATCATTTAAAAAGCTTAGTTTTTCAATTAAAGAGAGAGAGAAAAAAAAAAGAGAAACCGAACGCATAAAAAGGACGGAGATCTCCTACCTTTAACATCATCGTCTTCGATCGTTGTGCTGCTATCGGTGGATTCCTTCACTTGAGAGCCATCACCCTTCTTCGTGATTATGCTTCGACCTGGAGTGCGCAGAGCGTTTCAGTAAATCGATATTAGAAATGAAATGAAATGAAAACGAAGGAAAGCTATCGAGAAAGAGAGACTGAGGTGGCACAAAAGTAGTATCAAAGATTAGAAGGTAGGAACGAAAGAAAAAAAGAAGATAACAAGCGAGATAGAAAGAAAGAGAGAACATAACCGTTGAAAAACGGAACGGATTTCCGGAGGATATAGACTTTATGGATCAAGATGGTCGGAAATTTGGAGATTTGGACAGGAATTTTCAAGTGTTTATTTAAATCTGTCCTTCGTTGTGTATCTATCGAAAAAACGATCTTCATAGCATTCTTCTATTTTAAATATGCTCTGCAATATATTATTACTAATGTCAAAATCATTCGAATTTGAAAGGAACGCTATCTCTTCTTAATGCGACAGATAAAAATAGCAAATTCAAATGTCGATCTGATGTTAATCAGGAAACTAGCTTCTTGACTCTTTTTAGAAGAAAAAAAAAAAAAGAAACAAGGACGAATATCTGCTCTTTCCATAAGTGCTCATTAATCGAAGAATAAGAATGCGATCAAGTACCATTATAAAGTACCGTATCACTCGTGTATATTAAATACTCGTACATATTAAATAAAATAAACTGTTAATTAAATTTATCGATCCGCTTATTCAAAGCAATGCTGAAATAATGCTGAGCAATGCTTCAATAAGGAATAAATACGAATTTCCACATTATTTTATATCGTCGATATTGAGCAAGACATTCTATGACGAGATTGCAATTTTATTTCTACATATTTTATACAATTAAATTCTACATCTTTTTTTTAAGCGTCTTTTTTAATTTTTGAGTTTGCAAAAGAAAATTTAAAATCTGTAATCATCGTAAATTTAAATCTGTAATCATCGCATAAAAATAAAGTCTGTCTTACACATACAGAATTATATCTTTTAATTTATATACATATATACAGTACAGAGAAACTTTTTTCATTCGAATATCAAATTTAGTTTTCCAATTAGATATTTCACGTTCCTTCCAAAGTCCGATCCTAACAAGTATGATTGTATTTGCTAATCAATATAATCTAATCATTAATTGTAATAATTTCCTCGATATTACTACTATAAACGGACAATCATTCATATTTTCAACATGCAGAGTAAAATCGGTTTACCTTATACAATTAGCAATACGTATAGATTTTTAAGTAAAACAAAAATCAATTTAATAAATAAAACACATTTATAAACGACACACAAAAATGGTGATCGAGTGAGTCGAGATCACCGAGCGTCGAAATATATAAATGGATCATGCATCAGATTGGATTACGATAAACATAATTGTCCCAAAGGAAGACGAAACAAATCGTGTGAGAAAAAGAAATAGATAAAAAGAGACTCAAACATTTAAACATTCAAACAAATGCATTTATGTTATGATAAATTGTTAGTTCGTGCAACTCTTACAGGTTTAACATATATATATATATATCAACATATAGTGTACTTCACCTTCGTTTATCTAATGAAACGATTCTAACGATTCTAACGATATGCACAAACTGTGTTTAACGACACAGTTGCACTTAGTAAATAAATATTATATACATCGAGGATAAATATATGTATATTCTAAAAGTTTAGACTTTTTGCAGATTAGATAAACGAAGATACAAAGAATGCATGGCAAAGTGTAAACACACGTAATCTAATATGCTTAGCAAAGTAAGTAAATTATTTAATTATCGTTCATGTCCACCTACTACTAAGACATGAGCTATGAATATTTCATCCAATTTGACGAAGAGAAACTATGTTGAATATATTCTATGTATATATTAAAAGATATTAGAAAGAAAGAAACGAAGCGCGTCACAAAAATATAAGTAACTTCAGTAAGCTTCCGACGAAAAAGTCGGAAAGAGTAAGAAAAAGTTGACGATTTTCGCAAGAAAACGCCGTGTATTACTTCATTTTAACGAAACTTAGTAAAAAATTACGACTAGTTTCAATTTCAAATTACAATTCTCTTATCGTTATTGAAAAACTTTTATAGACATTTATTAGAAATTTAATTAAAATTAAATTCATAAGTCTAGAAATATAAAATCTGTAAAAATATTCCTGTTTTAACAAATTAACACTTTCAGTTCTTAATATTCGATATGTGTAGAATAATGCGGTTTAGCATTTTAAAAATTAAATTTTCAAAAATATTAAACGAGATCAGGTTCGTATGAATAATAAAGATGAATTTTAATTCGAAGAATATTTGAGTCGCTGCAAGTACGAAAAAGATATTTTTTTTTTCAATTTAGAAAATTCAAATCTCCAAATTCGTTTTGTAAAAAATCTATATCGCATGATTCTAATTTCTGATTTTAATTTATTTTACTCTCTTATCAATCTTTAGATATTTATGTATCTGAATAATTTAAATCAATCGATACATATCTAGCGAGAGACAACGATTACTTTAAGATAATATTGCTGAAATGAAAATCATTTCGTTAAGAGAAAGAAAGAGCGATATTTTGCAAATATGTTTTGCTCGAGCCATGTGCCGTAATGCATTAAAACGTGCAAACACATTTGTGAAAAGTATAAAAAAATATAATTGCGAGATATAGACGTATATAAAGCATAAACAAAAAGAAAAAAATAGAGAGCGACATACATATGATTAATGCGCAAACTAGCTGAAGTTGAAAAATAAGAACATGCCAGAATGCTAAGAGAGGAACGACGATTCGTACGGGAATCTGACATTTTTAACATGGCGTAACATAAAAGTCCTAGCATAAAAGATTTTATTTTACGTATTAGGCCGGATGAAAAAACATTCATTCTGACTAATTTAAACAACACGTCATCTCTTCAACTGAATTATTCTTGCAAATTATTAAATCACATTTTGTAATTGAACTTTAATGATACAAAATTATGACAAAAAAATAAAATTCCATAATAAGTATTTTAATTTTAAAGAATTCAACACTATTGCATAACTATTATGTTATTCAACAATTATTATACGTAGAAAACAGAAAGTATCTAAAAACAGAAATATTCTTCTACTTTTATGCATTTAAAAAATTTTAATTTTAAAGTTTTAATTAAATTTCTGAAATTGATCGATACATCATTTTTCTCAAGATTTTCTTATCGAAATCAAATTCGATTTCAAATAGAAACCCTCACGAATCGATCGTCCTTCAAGATCCAATACCGTCGACTGTATCGTGTGTAACGTCTCGTGTATACGCGACATATCGTTCATCACTCGAGTCCTATTCTATTATCGCATCGAGTATAAACGCCGAAAAAAATTGTCGCAAGAATAAAGCGCATCCATTTTGCACCTCCGACCCACTTCGCACGCTGCAGCTTATTTTCGTCAAAAAAAAAATCAGTCGTAGATAGTAAATAGAGGTAGAGATAGATAGAAAATGAGAAAGATAGATAGATAGATAGATAGATAGATAGAGAGAGAGATTTATTCATCGGTGCTAATTGCTCGCAATCTCTCAAGAGAGGGCATGGACAGGGCTCTAATTCGGGAATTCATCGATTCATAGATTTCTGGAAAAACTTCGGAGTCCTACGCGTGGTTTGGGACTTATAAATCTATACATAATTGTATACCGCGATCGCGCGCGATAGAAATACACACGGCCAGAAATATATAAATTTACACGCCCAAAATTCACGGCTGCGAAAAGTGCGACATAATTCTTAATTTAAACGTTTGTCCCGCAGTTTCGGAAAATACTTTATAAACTGAAGAACCAGCGTGAAACTCGCATTGCGATTTCATCAGTAAATATACGTTAAAAGCTTGCCGCTTAATTTATTTCGATTAGGATATATCGCGATATATTTCATACGCATTGGTGCACACCATTAAAAAGAAAACGAAACGCTAGCTCAGCTTTGTACTAGATTCTAGATGCTATATTGTCACAATGTCTATGATATATGTCGCAACGATAAATTTACATAAGACTTGCACGCGACTATCTTTAAATGGAAAAATCCCTTATATATCTTGCGGAGTGTTATAAAAATTTATATTTTTTCAATAATAATATTCTTTAATACCTATTCGAAAAAAATGCATTAACCTGCACAGATAGTTATAGCTATCGCTTGTAAGAGAACGCGAGCAACGAGAACCTACATAGGATATATGGATGTATAGCAATCAAAAAATAATGAATGAGTCAGCGATCGAGCGAGCGATGATTATTTGTAAAGAACTTGTACGGCAGATTTGCGATTATGAATTTTCACGTGGAAATTCTTAAATCGATAACATACGATTTCCGGTAATTATGTCAACGATGTCATTGCTGTTTTATAGAAAGGGAAGAGAGATGCGAGATATCAAAATCAACCGAACCGTATATTTAACATTTTCAAAATTCATTCAATAGCGTAATGAAAATGATGGCGTATTCCTTAACAAGATAGTGATCGTAAATGTTAAACAGAAATGACGGAGCGAATGATTTACTCGATAAATGATTTGCTTATGTATAAAAACATAATAAATTAAGACATAATCGAAATTTCTTGTCGGAAAGCTCCGTGTATGTATCTTGAGAGATATATATACATCTAACTTAAAAATAAATCGATCATTTTATTTAGTATTAAATATCGTAATCAACGATGAATTTTATTCCATTCTCTGAAATATTAGTGTTAAATTAGTGTTAATTGTTTATTGATTGTAAAAAAAAAGAAATCAAGAAAAACATTTTAATTTTATAAATTGCTATCATATATGGTCAGAACATTTACCTCTTTGTGACAACAAATCAATAAGAATAATGCGGACGATTGATAATCGGCTCAAGAAATATCGATGTAATCAAATTTTTTATCATCAGTTGTCCAACTAATTTTGTTCGTAAATGTGACAATTCAGCAAACGTTTTTGATCCCTTCGATTTCGAAAACAAAAAAAATTCTCTTTAAAATCGCATCTATTCACGAA